GGTGGTCAGGCTGGGGGTGGGTGAGTTGGCACAACGCCTGGTGAGCAGGCACAGGGCGGCAGAGAAGGCTCAGTAGTAGAGGTTCTTGCCACAGAAGCCTAGTGGCCGAAATTCAATACCTGTCCCACCTGGAGGAAGGAGGTACTGACCGACACCCTCTGACCTCTACACGTCCTGCCAAACCCACCCTCACACAAATAAATAGTTGTCTCCTGACCTTCATACGTGCAGTGTGCCCCTTGTGCTCAAACACACGTATCATGCGTGCCACACACACATATAATAATCATAGATAATTTTTAGCCACAACATGGTTGTGTACATCTTTAATTCCAGCACTCGGGAGGCAGAGGCAGGCGGATCTCTGTGAGTTCAAAGCCAGCCTGGTCTATGGAATGAGTCCTAGGACAGTCAGCGATACCATGTCTCAAAAAAAAAAAAAAGTGAAAATAATAATTTTTTAGAAGTTAAAACAGCGAAACCCCAAACCAGGTATGAGGGCACATGCTTGTAATCCCAGCGCTCTAGAGGCGGGGGAAAGGTCAGAAGCTGAGCCAGGCAGTGGTAGCATACACCCTGTAGTCCCAGCAGAGGCAGCGGATCTCTGTGAGTTCATGGCCAGCCTGGTCTACAGAGCTAGTTCTGGGACAGCCAGGGCTGTTACACAGAGAAACCCTGTCTCAAAAAACCAAAAAAGTTGAACGTCACCCTTCACTGTCCAAGGCCACCCTAGGAAACTACATTCAATTGACTCAGAGAGAGAGAATCAATGTCCCTGCCCGCCTCCTTCCTCTCCCTTCTCCCTCCTTCCTCCTCCTTTCTCCCCAAGTCTTTTTACTATATGGAAGAAGGGAGACCTGAAATCTCTCTTCTGCCTGCTTCTCTCCCAGGCCTAACACGCAGTATCAATTACCAATCCATTATTCATTAATTGATTTATTTATTCCCACGCCTGTTCAGCACTGCCCACATGTCTTTTGTGTCTCGCTGGCATCTGGAAACCCTCTGGGACAGCTGCACCTGGCTCCTCACTCTAGGAGGCACAAACTCTGGGAGGGAGGAAGCTTCGCTCTGAGGGGCTTGGCACTATGGGAGGGAAGGACGGACATCTTACTGGGTCACATTTTCCCCGGGCTGAGAAAAGCAAGGCAGGGACACTAGAGATGTGGAAAATGTTAGGAAAGCAAAACTTGATGCTCAGAAGCGAGGGCAGGCACGTTGAGGCAGAGGCACAGAACTGGAGGGAAGGTGGGGGTGGCGCACAGAGTGGAGGCGGCAAGATGGGGGCAGGGAAGGCACCGGAGGGTGGATCAGGTTGTCTGAAAGCAGGTCTGCAATCAGACCGTCTAGGAGGAAGCTGGTCTAATTCAGGAAGCGTGGACATTCCATGTCAGTTCCTGAAACATTTATTTTGAGTTACACAAGGACGGACTGCGTGGGCATGAGTGGTGGGGTGTTCTCATTCCCCCCCCCCCAGCTTTTTGGCTGCTAAGGTCTGAGTTCAGCCCCAGCCACACCTCAGCTCTGCACAGTGCCCGCTGTCTTCTCATTCCTCTCTCTCTCTATTTTTGATTGTTTTGTTTTCATTTGTTTGTTTGTTTGTTGTTTGTTTTTGGTGTTTTGAGACAGAGTTTCTCTGTGTAAATCCCTGGTTGTCCTGGAACTCACTCTGTAGGCCAGGCTGCCTCGAACTCATAGAGATCCACCTGCCTCTGCCTTCCAAGTGCTGGGATTAAACTCATGTGCCACCCTGCCTGGCCTCCTGTATGAATTTTCTTTCTTCTTTTTTTATTCATATTTATTGAGCTCTACATTTTTCTCTGCTCCCCTCCCTGGCTCTCTCCTCCCCTTCAACTCTCTCCCAAGGTCCCCATGCTCCCAATTTACTCAAGAGATCTTGTCTTTTTCTACTTCCCATGTAGATTAGATCCATGTATGTCTCTCTTAGAGTCCTCATTGTTGTCTAGGAAAAATATGGAACGCTTCACGGATTTGCGTGTCATCCTGGCGCAGGGGCCATGTTGTTCCAATTTTAGTCTGTGTGCTGCCGAAGCGAGCACTCCTGTTTGAATTTTCAAGGCCCGAGCTGACCTCCAGCTCGCTGTGTGCCAGAGGATGCTAACCTGACCTTCTGGCTCTCCAGCCTCTGCTTCCTGAGTGCTGGGATCCCAGGCCTGCACCATTGCGCCCAGAGACAGGGTGCTACAGATGGAGCCCCGGGATCTGAATGAGTGCGCTAGGCACAAATTCTGCCAGCTGAGAAACTCCTCCAAGCCGCCTGGCCTCCTGACTGGGTCCACAGCTCCTATGAGGGCCGCTGCTTCCCTCTCAGCCTCTGTCCTCTCTTCCCTTCTGCCCTCCTGACTCTTAGCACCCTCCAAAGTCTGCCACTAAGGGACAGCACATGCCTGTCCTATTTGGAAAGTCTGGTGTTGTGGACTCCTCTGGCTTTTTTCTTAAAATTATCATTATTCTTCTTCTTATTATTATTATTTTTTTTAAAATTATTTATTATGTATACAATATATGCTTGCAGGCCAGAAGAGGGCACCAGACCTCATTACAGATGGTTGTGAGCCACCATGTGGTTGCTGGGAATTGAACTCAGGACCCTTGGAATAGCAAGCAATGCTCTTAACCGCTGAGCCCCTATTCTTATTATTTTATTATTGAGAGAACTCACTGACTTCTCAACCTCACTCTCTTTATTAGGGCCAGTCACTTTGCATCCTTTGGGCCCAGCCCTTCACCAGGGAAGTGTAACCATCGTTGCTGTCAGTACGATGCACCGAGCCCTGGGTGTGTCAGTGGCTCCCCTAGGCCCCAGACGCGCCACTTAAACAGCTTGCCACACAAGGCTGAGTCACCGGAGTGTTCACTGTGAACTCTGTCCCACCCACGTGAGCCTCACACCTTTGCCTGGGGCTGATGGGAAACTCTGGGTTGAGGTGTGGAGAACGGGAATTGGGAGGTGCTGAGGCTGGAACAGAGGGTGGGCCTCATCAGCCGCAGGCTACCGTACACCTGTGTACAGGTGCTGGCCTTGCCTAGAAGTTCCCCAACTCCTGTGTCATCTGGCTAACCAGAATTGCAGCTGTCTTTCAGCACTCCTAGCAAAGCTTGCAGGGCAGCTCTGCCCAGAGGGCCCCCATCCCTTCCTGGAGCACTACCCACTGCCCACTGCGGTGGTTAATCTGGACCATTCACTGAGGGGAGAGGACACTTTCTCATGGTGGCTGGCATCTTCTTGTGGTGGCCTGCTATAAGAAGTCTCGGGATAAAACAGTACAGTTTGCTTGCCTACCTTCCCTTTCCATCCGTTCTGTTGCTGCAGCAGCTGCCTCCAGATCCCCGCCTCGTCAACCTCCCAGTGCCTGCTACAGGCCTACAGTAACTACTGAGGTTCTTTAGAAATACCCCAGGCATGCAGGGCCAAATGGGGACCGCTGAGGCAGGCAGCCTGGTGGAGCAGCCTCTCAGGCAGCAGCCAGCTTCTCCTGTGTTAAACAGCCAAACAAGCCCCTGGAATAGACATTCATTTTGTCACTCTGTCCCTGACTAATCCGTCTACACCCCTGACTGTCTGCTCTAACCCCAGTGTAGGTTTGCCCTGTGGCCTGCTCGATTGGTGCTGTCTTCCTCCAGGCTCTAACGATCTGTCTTGGAACCAGTGCTCAGGGAATTCTTACCAAAGGAACGAACACTGTTCTCAGGCATTCTTCTGGGTCCCTGAAGTGGTGAACTTCAGAGCTCACAGTGAGGATTCACAGCCAGAGGATTCAGGAAGTATAGACACATGCGTATCAGCTCAGGGCTGCAAGAAAGAGTAGTGCAGTCTGCTGCAAACCGGGAGTCCACATGGCCTCATTGAAAGTCTAGTGTTCAATATCAACCTCACCCACTCCGGTCCTGGCCACAGTTCTGTGTTGTTCTCTAGAGATCTGTTTTCAGTTTTGGGAACACCACTTCGAGATACATTCTCCTCCCCTTGTGAACACCCAGCTCTCTCCTGAGCGTGAGCTGGGGGAGGCAGAGGTAGTCGGGTTTTCTGTTTGCTTGGTTTTGTTTTTTGTTTGTTTAAATATTATATATTGTTTTTTTTTCAAGACAGGGTTTCTCTGTGTAGCCATAACTCTCTCTGTAGACTAGACTTGCCTCCAACTCACAGAAATTCGCCTGCCTCTGCCTCCCGAGTGCTGGGATTAAAGGCTTTGGCCTCCACCACTCTCAAGGTAGTCAGTTTTGTTCTATTGAAGCCCCCGGCTGTCTCATGGCTCAGCGCCTGGTTTATCGCAGGCAGGCGCAGCAGAGACATTGAATGAAATCGCCTTAGACCCCGCTCCTGGGGCGGAAGTCTGGCTCCTGGAAGCGTGGACCCAAGTCCCAGAAAGCCTCAGAAAACGCCTTAAATCCGCTTTGCTGGGGGGTGGGGGGCATGGGATAGAGTGAAGGAGAGCGCTCTCTCTCTTTGACTAGACCACAGGCTCCTGCTCTGCCTGCATCCACACACACATAGAGGCGGGGTCATCACACCAGGGCTAGACCGCAGGGTCCTGTCCTGCACGCATCCCCAAACACATTGGTAGAAGATGGGGTCATCATGCCAGGGCTAGACATGGGTAAAAGAGGGGGTCATTACACCAAGGCTAGAGAGAAGGGCCCTGTCCTGAAAGCACCCACACACATGGGGGGCGGTCATCACACCGGGGCTAGATAGAAAGACCCTGTCCTGCATACACACCCCTCCCCGCACACTCACAAGGGCAGAGGAGGGGGTCATCACGCCAGGGCTAGGGCAAGCCTCTAATCTGCGTGCACCCACACGTGAGACGCTGGGATTAGGAGGGCGCAGGAACCACGCACCGAGCCTGGGAGCAAGCGGCCGGGCGGGCGCGGCCTCCGGGTACCGCGGCGCTGCCACCTGCGCAGCCACCGCGCCGCCATTGGCTCGCGGAGAAGCCGCTCTAATCCGCGCCGCCTCCGCCCCCGCGCGGCGCTGCGCTCCGCGGAGTCTCTGACCTTCCTCCTTCCCGCAGCCCCGGAGAGACGCGCGACGGTCGCGCCGATCTCCTCCTCCCCCGGGAAGCCGTCCGGGCTTGAGGCCGGGCCGCCGCCGCCCGCTTCGCCCCCCGCCGCCGATGGTGTCCGGAGCTCTGGCGCCCAGGTATTGAGTCTAAAACGTGGAGCGAGCGCGGGGTGGGGTGGGGGTGCGGGGAGGCCAGGGCCCCAGTGAGGGATGCAGGTCCCCAGCGTGTGGTGGCGTTGGACGCAGCGGAGGACAGGGACCTGGAGAGAGGTGGGCGCGCACCCGGGGACGCTCCTGGGCTGGACCCAGGCAATGCCAGGATGGCCCTGAACTAGGCCCCTTGGGGATGCCGAAGGAGAGGCATTTACCCCGAGGAAAGAGGAGGAAATAGGTTTGTTGGGAAACTGGGGCCTGGCCCCGGGTGTTGAGTGTGTTTTTCTGGGACCAGCTGGGATGGGTGGGCCGGTGCCAGCTTGGTGCGTATGTTATTTCTGGACCAGAGTGGGCTGGGGGAGAAGCACAGCCGGCGATGTCTGGTTTAGATTACAGGTACTTCCTTCTTTGCTTCCGACCCCTCCCCCTCCAGCTGGGGTGGGGGGTGGGTGGAAGGAGAGAGGAGGTAGTGATGCTCAGGGCCCCCGCAGATGCAGCAGAATCCTCTCTGCGCCACACTGCCCTCCCTCCACCGACCTCGGACCATTTGGTCACAGTTGGGGCGCTCCCCCCGGTAGTGTTCACCTTTCAGGAGGCTGTGGAAAGGTTAAAGGGTCATTAATGTGTCTGGGACACGGTGGCAAACTCCAGAGCTTGGCTAGACCCAGCTTCAAACCCCAGTTTTTCCCCACCTCCCCCAAGCCGAGCTCTGCAGCTTGAGGGGACGTCACACTTGCGGCCACCTTCTTTTTCTAGGCACAACCAGAAATAGCTACCATTGTCAGGGGCCCTGGCACAGCTGGGGTGCCGATTGCCAATGGTTTGGGAAGCTCTGCCCCCAGCCCAGTTTTCTTAGACCATAGCCTCCAAGCAGCTTCCTGTCCCCCAGGTGAGAGGCCACCTCCCACACCGTGTTCCTGGACCCTGTCAGCCTTGAGGTTATTTATGTCTGGTCTGTCGCCCTCTAGACCAAAGTGTCTTCAGGCTAAGAATCTGATTTGTCTCTGTCATTGCTCCGGTGTCTGAGAAGGGCTCATCACTGAAGAAATATCTGCAGAATGAATGAATGAATGAATGAATGAATGAATGAATGAATGTGTAAATTCTGGGCATTTGCTAGCAAGCTGAAAGATGGTCTTTCTACCGGCGCATCCCGGCCTCCCCCATCCTCCTCTTGTCGCCCCCCCCACTTCCGGGACCAAAGAGCCATGAAGCTCCTCTAGACCTGGGGTTGAGAGGCAGCTGTGACTTTTGGAAGGGCTTCCGCCCTGCTGGCTCCTGACTGTCTTGTTGGACCCCTAATGTCCTTGGGGAATCTGGCCCATCATTAAGGGCTTCCCTTTCTTCAAGCCACCGGGCTGGTGATTTCTCCTGTGTTGCTATGCTCAGACCCTCGGTCCCAGCTCTAAGAAGACAGACCATGTCATGCTCTGGGGCTGGGCGAGCCCCCAGCAGGCTGTCCTGGGTCTCCTGGCTCTTCCAGGGCATGGGGTTTTGCAGGGCCTTTCTTGGGCACCCTTGCTCCTCTGACGAGGTTGTGCCACCGTGCCCAGTCAGCTGACCCCACCTCGCCCCCGCTCTGCCCTCCACTGCTCTGAGACTCTCCGTTCCTCTTCGGAAGCTTCCTTGGCTGTGTCCCCACCCCATCCTACTCCCCTCTTCTCGGATCCTCTGGTATCACCCTGCCTCAGGTTTTGAGTGACATCTTTCCACATGGATACAGGGGTGTGTGTGTCCTGGTCTGGTGTCCCCAAGGCCTGACACAGAGAGACTTCACTTAACTTGTGAAAGCCTGACATGGTGGCTCCACCATGACTTCAGGCAAGGTTCTCCCTCCTCAGGAGATGCCTGCATCCCCAGCAGGAATGACTGGCTGTGGGAGACCTCACTGGAGAAGGGAAACTTCTGTGGGCCAGGCAGGCCAGGAAGGACAGGGAAGGCCATCAGGGAAGGAGCTCACTGATTTGGGCTGTCCCCCTGTGGAAGCAAGAGGAGGAGCTGAGAGAATGGGTGTCCTGGGGAGGGCCTGGAACTTACTATGACAAGCTCAGTCTGCTGAGCCACACCCCATCATCATGGGGGATTCTGCGCAAGGGCATCCTTCTGTGCTATATAGATAGCTCAGGCTTACCGCTTACCTTTCTTCTTCTTCTTCTTCTTCTTCTTCTTCTTCTTCTTCTTCTTCTTCTTCTTCTTCTTCTTCTTCTTCTTCTTCTTCTTCTCCTTCTCCTCCTCCTTCTTTTCCTCCTCCTCCTCCTCCTTCTCTTCCTCCTCCTCCTCCTTCTTCTTCTTCCTCCTCCTCTCCTCCTCATCCTTCTCCATCTTCCTCTTCTTCTTCTTCTTCATTATTATTAATCCTGAGACAATGGCAGTTACAGATAACCCCACAGGCTCTGAACAGCTGGAGGGACTCTCAGAACTGTGTCCAGTTAGGTCCCAGCATCCTCAGGCACTGCTGCTGGGGACCAGTGTGGGGCATCTATAGATGGTGCCCTGAGCAGCCAGGACCATGGCTGATGCTCACTTCCAAGAAGGGTAGAGGAAGGGGGAGGTGGGCTAAGGGAGGAGGCAGGAGCTGGGATGCCAACCAAGTGAGTGCTGCCAGCTCAGAAGGGGAGTGGGGCTGTGGGGCTGGAGAAATGCCTTTGGCCTTCAACTGGGGCTCCTGAAGGCTGGAGGACCAGAGGCCGTGGCTACTTTTTAAGCATCACATGGTGTGGAAATGGTGGAAGGAGGGTGGTTTATTAGGTGAGCACGCTGGCTGCTCTTGCAGAGAACTTCCCTGGGTTTGATTACCAGCGCCCACACGGCAGGTCAGAACTGTGCTTCAGTCCCGAGCATCTGGGACCCTCTTCTGACCTCGTCAGGGGCCAGGCACACGCAGTGCACAGGGATCCATGCAGATAAAACACGTGTGCACATAGAATAAAACAAATATATCAAAAACCATAGAAGCTGGCATGGGCTGGGCTGGGGCATCAGATAAGATGCGGGCGCCTGGTTAAATGGTGAAATCTGAATTTGATGGGGATGTGGCTCCATAGTAAAGTGCTGTGTAGCGGGCCCCGAGGCCCTGGGTCAAATCCCAGCACTGGAAGAAAAGCTCAGATAAATAAATTTGTTTATTTGTTTAAATATATATGCTTTTTAGCATAAATATATACCAAATGTTGCATTATAAACTTGTACCAAAAAGAGGGTTTTTCATGGCATCGCAATGACAGAACACGCTTCATGTTCCCCTGTGACAGTCCTAGACTTCGCCCTAATAGAAACATCTGGGGCCGTTGTCTCTCGGAGGGTAAAGATGGCTGGCTGCAGACCGAGGGCTCACAGGGTAGGAGAAGATAACGACTTCCACAGTTGTCCTGTGACCCCCACGTGTGTACCGTGGCACGCACTCACACCCCTCCACAATGAATAACTGTAGTGATTTAAACTCGATTTGTCTTTTATCTGAATTTCATTTGCCCTGATGCCCTTTGGCCTCTCTAGGCTGGTTAGGGATGGAGAGGGAAAGAGGACAGAATCTCCTATGTGCTCTCTTTCTGTCCTGCGGGAGGGGTTCTGGGTGATTATTGGGAATGAACAAAACTATTATTTATTATTGGGAATGAATGTGCATGTGTGTATGTGTGTGTGTGTATACTTGTGTGCAACTGTGCAAGCATGGAGGTTAGGGGATGCCTTGGGCCTCACGGGCCACCTTGCTTCAGACACCTTGCCTTGTTCTGTGCTGCTCCATCCGGACTTTCATGGGTTCTTACGTATTTTGTGTCTCTCTGTAGGAGCACTTGGCATTACAGACACTGCCATGCCCAGCTTGGAGACTCAGGGCCTGATGGCCACACGGACTCAGACTCAGGGCCTGACGGTCACAGGGCAGTTTTGAATTCTGTGTCAGTGAACCGATTCTCTGACCTGCCCAGAGAGTGCTCGCCCGTTCAGATGGACAAGCGAGGCGGAGCCTCTAAATAGGGTTAATCCAGTACTGCACAAATCCTCACAGTAAGCCTGGCGTAGGGTGTGGCAGACAAACCCCCACATCTCTAGGGGAGAATGTGATGGCACCCCCTCTTTTGGCCATCCCACTTTGGGGCCATCCCAATAGGTACAGTTTTAGCGAGGACAGTCTTAGTCTTGGTTGGGCGACGATGGTCAGCTGGCTGCCACCAGGAGGACGTGATGCAGTCAGACTCCCCCAGTGCCAGCCGTAGGGGGTTCTTCCTTCTGTCCGTCCGTCAGCGACCTCTGCTGTGTACCAGGCACAGGTGCTTGGGGACACTGGGGGAAAAGGACGACGTAAAAGAATGGTTGTATGTACCGTATGGAGAGGATGGAGCAAGTGGCTATGTATGACTAGGACTTGATTTCTCTCTTAATTTATTTAACTTTATTTTATGTGCATCGGTGTGAAGGGGTCAGATCCCTGGAACTGGAGGTACACACAGTTGTGAGCCGCCATGTGGGTGCCGGGAATTGAACCTGGGTCCTCTAGAAGTGCTCTTAACCGGTGTGCCATCTCTCCAGCACCTGATTTTTTTTTGTTTGAGACAGGGCTTCACCGCATAGCCCTGGCTGTCCAAGAACTCACTCTGTAGACCAGGCTGGCCTGGAATTTGC